GATGTGAGTATCAGTCACATGGAGGCAGGGCTTAAAAGCCTGAATTTTGCCTGAAACTCTCAGACTGAAGAAGTCTCTTGGAGGAGAGACGAAACATTTCTTTAAAGAAGAACCCATCCAGAAGACCTATACTATTTTTTTTCTTTTTGATTTTTTTTACCTGGATTACTGAGATGCATCGGGACGTCCCTGGAATTGTTTCGACCTTGTAAGGGGTCCCCAGACCCAAAAGGTTTGCGAACCCCCTAATCTGTAGAACTTTTACTTAAAACAAAATGTTAGTGTAAGAAAATAAAACAGGATATTTTTGATTTTCTTTAGAAACACATTCTTTTAAGTTCACATTTGTCTCTGCATAAAGCATTTCTGGAAGCTTGAGGTTTAATGTGCGCATGCGCAGAGCAGCAGGGGCGTCGCCGCACAACACGCACGCAGTAGCACCCTCATCCGAGCTCACTTTTCCACTTTTCCCGCTCTGAAAACGTTATCCTGCAGTGAAAGTGATTAACTGTGAGCCTGTTACAGATGAACTGTATCTGAACTGCAGCTCTATAAGTAAAAACATACATTTTGGGGCCATTTTTGGACGCTAAACTTCGCGACATGATCATGAAGCCACGATGAACATCTTCACTTCCCCCAATTTACCTGTAATTAAATACTTTAATGACATTATTTTTTATCAGTACCTGGGTTTTTACACAAAGGGCTTCTAGATAAAAAACAAACAAACAGGTCAATAACCCGTTAAACGTTGTCAAAGTGCCTTTGGCGTTTTACGACAGTTGAGAGACAGACACCCAAAACAATGTTTGTTTTGAGGGTGTTGGCAAAGTTTCACGGTTTGCAACTCGACATAAATCCTAAAAGGAAAAAAAAGAGCTCTGTTTTACTCCTTAAAAATGCAGTTTAGCGTTGTCTTGTGAAGTTTTTAATTTGTAAATTAAGAAAAAACTCATTTGCAGATGCTTACCTCGCGTCTCTTCGTCCCTGCTGCTCCTCGTCTCGTGATTTTGTTGCAGCTCAAACGATTTCATGAAGATCTCGACGTCAAAAAAAGCCCAAACTTACAGAGAGTTTAAGTTAAATAAGATCATTTTTTTCCCTCCTACGTCAAGTTCGCTTCAGTTAAAATGAGAAAAAAAATACAACTTTTTTTTCTCCCCCTGACTCCAATATGATGAAATCCAGTGCGATTGTAGTAAAATTCAAGCTTTCTTTCTGCAGATCAACAACAACCTTCAGTGTGAGTCTGATTTAAGATGAGAAGGAAAACTAGGAGGATAAAGGGAGGGCAAGTCATTTAAAGTGACGTCTGTGTATGACGGGTGCTTAGTGCCGCAGAGGGAGGTTTT